CTTATTAATATTATATTTTTAACTATGAATACTCTACTATTGTATGATACTATTTAAAAAACTTAGTTCACAAAACAAGTAATCGCAAAAATTTTCAATTATACACTATCTTAAATATTCACATGACATCATTGTAAACATTAGTTGTGCGATAGTTCATTATTTATGATATAAAGTCATGCTTGTACCTTAATTTTGCAGCACAGTCTTTTTTTTTTTTTTCCTATTGGTTATCAAATTGCCCAAACAATTATTTTCTTCTATAGGAAACCACATTTGTCTATGTGAACAATATCTCCCATTGATTATTAAATGTTTAATGTCATGTTATTATTTTTTTTTTTAATACACTAATTGAATATCCTTTCTATAAAAAGATGTTTTTGAAAACCTACAAGAACATTTAAAATTCTTTAAAATTAAAGAGGGAATATGGTACTTTTAAAAATGGGTTAGGTTCTCAATCCATATATGATTGCTCTAATACCTCGTATAAGAATATAATAAATTGTATACGACATTTAGAATACCGAGTTTAAATTATAACTAGGTCTTCCCATCACTTTCTTAACAATATAGAGTGCACTTTCAGTTAAACAACTATAGGATATTGTCGTTGGGGGTCTAATGGACATTTCATTTTGGACAGCTATTATACAGTGAATGCCTACACTTTCGGTTTCAACCGTATCTATACTACTATAAAATGTTAATAAAAGTGAAAAAATTTTGTTTGATTAAAATAACTTTGATAAAATCACTAATGCCCGTATTGTCTTTTTCAATTAATAAAAACACTAAAAATATTGAAGGTTATTTATTGAGCAACTATTGTATTTTCAATAATGATATATATATATTATACACGCCAGACAAAAAGAAGAGTGAAGCCGGCCATCCAAAAAAATAAGAGGTAGAAAAATCCCACACCGAAACTCTACTCCATATTCGACATCTCTTGGCCATGATAACTCACGTCGTGAGTATAATCTCAGAGGTGATTTCATCTTTGCAGTTACATGTATATCTATATTTCTAAATATCTATTGTAGAATTTTCTTAACCAATGCTCGAGAAAGAATGTGTTTCCTGATTAACAGCTGTTAGGTTGAGTGCATCTCTTGGGATTCCCACCCCTAAAGGTGAAAGGAGAAGGGTTGTTCAACTTGCAGATTAGATTTGGTTGTACTTGTACTCTTTTTCAAAGAAAACATCTTTTACTGATGAATGGAAGTTTAAATTGTATATACCAGAAATCAGCCTCCTTTTTTGTAGTAGACTAGGAGGGATTGAGCTTGTTGTTTACAAAATAATAAGAAAGAGATTTAGGAATAGTTGTTTCCTTGTTAGAGCATAGCTAAAGCGTGTAGAAATATAGAAAAAATAATTAGAAGTGCATCTATGTTAAATGTCCCGATGTTAAACAATAGTTTTTGAAAATTGTTCCCATACGTCTAATTGCCACAATTTCCAACATTTGTAAACAGCTAATGAAATAATTGTTCGAATCGTTACCATTTTAGGAACATGATTGAAGGTCTCCTCGTAATCGAGATCACAACAAGATGAGCCTTGTACTTGTCAATAGTTCTATTAGCCCTCTTCTTCGACTTGTAAACCTATTTGCAAGTAACTGGTGCAACATTCTTTGGTTTCAAAACAAGCTCCCATGTACAGTTCTTGTTTAGTGTTGATATTTCCTCTTGCATCGCTTCTTCCCATTTAGAAATTTTGTTTGCTTCATTGTAAGACGTAGGCTCATCTTCACATGACTTTCTTGTAAAAAAATAGGACACAACAGAGCAATAACTTAATTGAACATCATAATCAGCTAAGTAATCAAGTTGCCTTCTTTGTCTAGAGGTCCTTCGAAGCGCCGTCCTTGCAATCTCCTCTTGTTGAATATTTTCTTCAATAGGAGTAATATTGTTCCCCCTTTCATTGGATGCATCATCAAGAAAGGGTGAAAGATCACTTGTGCCTATATCGGTATCAATTTGAGGTGATGAAACTTCATTAAACACCACGTCACGGGAAACATCAACTTTATTTGTTTCTGGATCCATACATTTCCATCATTTCTAGTGAGTATCATAACTAACAAAAATATAGGGCCTTGCCCTTGGGTCCAGTTTAGTCCAATTAGTTTTTGAGACATGGACATAACAAACTAAACCAAAGACTCGAAAATAACTCACATTGGGTTTGTGATAGTATAGTGCTTCCAAAAGAGATGGTTTTGTCCCTAGCCATGAAAGTAAACGATTTATGACATGACAAACTAATTGAACAACTACTGCCCACAGCTCTCTTGGAAGGTTCTTTATATGCAACCATGGGAAGCACATAGATGTAAGATGTGCCAACTTGTGCTCATCAACTCCATTTTGCTGTGGAGTTTTCGGGTAAGTCTTTTGACACTGAATGCCATGTTCTTTGCAGTAATCGAGGAATTGATCAGACATATATTCTCCTCCATTGTCGGTGCGTAGACACTTGATTTGCAGCTCGAATTCTTTCTCTACCTGCTCCTTGAACTACACAAATTTAGAGAAAGCCTCACTTTTGTTTGCTAAGAAGTACACCCAAGTGAACCGAGAAAAGTCGTCCACAAGACCATTACATAGCGAAAATCAGAGTAACTGGGTGTTCTTGTTGGCCCCATCAGATTTGAATGAACCAGTTGTAACGCAGCGAAAGCTCTATTCTTTGAATTCGAAAAAGGGAGGCGATGTGATTTTCCATTTTGACACCCAGGACAAACCACATCATGGTGAATCTCTTTAAAAAGAGGAACTCCATCAAGAAGCTTCTTTAGAGATTTTCTGCAGCAATTGATACCCAACATGGCCTAACCGATTGTGCCAAAGCATTGCACTTTCATTCTGACATGTTTTTTCAACATATGCATCACTTGCAGACAAAACATATAATGATTCTTTTCTTCTCCCAGTAAATAAAACATCAGCTTCTATGTGTTTTACATTAGAAAGAATTTGAACATTTTTGGGACCAAAGAGAACATACCTCCTAGCGTCGGTTATTTGAGAAACTGAGGAAAGATTCTTCTTTAGGCCTGGTACATGATAAACATCTTTGAGAGAAACTCCTCTGTTATTCAAAATATCTACCTCAAAATGCCCTTGTTTCTCAACAGGATATAAGGAATTATCAGCTGTCATAATGGTTTTCTTCCTATAATGTGGATGAACGTCCGACAATAAAGAATCATTTCTCGTTGCATGATGAGAACAACCAGAGTCAATAATCCATTCGTTGTTGTAGTCTATGGAGGCATTACCATCTATCTGTGCAAGGGTCACAATAGTTGATTGATCAGTGGATGTAATAGACAAGCAATGCTCCCATTTGGACTGTTTAGACTTTCAGCACACAAGGTTTTGACTTTCAAAAAATATTTTGGAATTGAAAGAGTACCTTGAGTCATTCCAGCAAGTTCATTCTCCAAGTACTGCAAGTGCATTGTATTCTTTTGTGTGAACCATCGATCAAGTGTCTCCCACACCTGTTTTGGCGATGAGACATCACGAACATGTGTGATGAAGTCTTGGCTGATCAAAGTTCGTAAAGCAAACAAGGTTTTGCCGCACTTAATCTTCCACTTTCGTTGTAAGTTAGCATTTTGGGGTGTATCTTCTAGAATTACAGCATCATCACTAGAGATAAAATCCCACAAGTCCGCCCTTGTAGATAAGCTTTTGTGCATAGCTTCTAGTAATTATAGTTGTTACCAACTGTTGGACCAAAACAGTTTTTAAGTGTAAAAACAGAGTTTTTAGTATACTTTGAGACTAAATTAAAATGGGCCCCGTTCATTGTTATGAGTAAAATTTTATGGGTTCATATTCTACTCCGTAAGGAGAATAATGTAGTATATTCACTTGCTCAAATCGAGTAAGAAATGAATGAAAAAATAGGCTCCAAAGTGACCCTTTTGAAATGTGGAAATAAAGGTTGTGCAATGTGGGATTTGACACCAATTCCACATTGGTATGAGAAGAAATTCAACATGGACATATATAGGCCAAGTTTGCTCTATGTGATTGGACCTTAAAGGGTACCACAATTTTATGAGCGGAGCGAGAACCTACATGTCTTCGGTTAGACCACACACGTGCGCATCACTAGCCACGCTACGATCCGGTTGGGCTGGGCTCGGGACAGGTGTGGTTGTGGTTTAAACCAAGCCCTATCTTTTTGGAAAAAATTCATTTAATTAATTGAGCGAGAATTTCTGAATAGAATTTAATTTTTGGTATCCAATTAATTCGCATTGGTTCGGATTTTTGCATCATTCCAGTCCGAAGTTGGAGTTGTGTCTGTTCATAAAGAACAGTTAAAAGTGGTGTCTACTAATTTTCATTTGTCTTCCTGGGTTGTGTCCTTGAGTGTGGTGAGTGTCCGAAAAGTCACCATAAGTGTCTATAAATGCATAGGTTCATTAGCATTCTGCATTAATTAATTCATTACAATTATTAGTCATATTTAGAGTTAAGCTCGACATTAGAGTATTGCATTTCGGCATTAAGGCAGTCTACATTTGGAGTTTTGGTTTGCTAGACGAGTAGATTGTAGTACTTCTTCTGCTCGTGTAAAGATCATTGTATTCTGGGAGACAAACACTCGATATTTCATAAACACCGTGTGTGGAGACGAAATTTGTCTAAAGGACATAGTGACAAACACTAGCCTTTATTTACTTAAAATTCAATAACAGTTCATGTTCTACAACCGAGTTAGTATTTATTTTAGTTTAGCAAAAAGTTTCGTGTCACTCTTTTGTTTCTATGTAATTGTTCTGCACTTCACTCTTATTGTTTTATTATATTTTAAGTTACGTAGTATAAAAAATTTTAATAAGTGATTTTACAATATTTAGAATTCCACAAACAACACCAACAAGCTTACCTACAAAAACATTGCTTCCACCATTCATCTTCACTGAGCAATAAAATCAAACATCTGGAAGGCAACCAAACTCTGATACCATGTAAGAAATATAGAGACCGGAAGCAACCAAAAAAAAAAAAAGACAGGGATGGTGTTGAAACTGAATTTTATTACTCAATGGAGAACTAAAGCAAAACTAGGATTACAAAGGTTATACATACTAGAATTTTTTTCCTAAAAGATCTCAACCGACTAAAAAAGTTTGCCTAAATAAGAGGAAGACAATCTGTATTCCTAAATAAGTGGAATACTGAAAACAAACTAGATTTATTCAACAAACACTAATTCAGTTATGCAGCAAAGACAAATTCAGTAATTTTTTGAAATATGTCAGCTATAAATTCGACAAATTTGCACCACTCCACACCACCGCCTTTTTCTTTCTTCTCACCATCTCTGCCATTGTCACCGCTACCACCAATGCCAATGACATTGACACTCCCACTCTCCTGGCGGCGGCATTCCTTCTTCGATTCAGCAATCTCGACCAATATTTTGAGCTTCCTTTTCAATGCTTTCACCAGAACTTCCACGTCCATAGTCCCTCTTACCATTACTAGGTCATTTTGTTTGTTTAAAGAGATCTCTTGCAATCCTGTTTCATCACAAATTAGTCCTTAACCTGATATTACTCTAAAAAACACCATTAAATGTGCCCTAACCTTTGGTTTTGAAGGCAATTTTGACAATATCTGGAATACATTTATTGCAGTTCAGATTCACCTTCAACCATGTTTTCTATAAATGCAAAAACCAATCAATTAATCAACACAACTTGATGAAAAATCACTAAAACAAGAGCTAGCAAATAATTTTACTAAAATCTCTCATCTGATGGGCTATGTACCCATGCCGTGAATCTCAAGTGTAACCACTTTAGTATCATTACTAAAAATGAAATTATGAAGTTTTTGGCAAAGCAAATAGATAAGCCTAACCTTTGAATTCTTATCTTCTGGGTTTTGCTTTGGCTTGTCTTTGGCCTCTTTGTTCCTATTCTCTTCTCCAGCACCAACATTCTTTTTTTTGTCGTCCTTATTTCTTCCATCGTCTTTGTTGTTTATCTTGCTCTTATTCTGCTCATCCTTGTTCTTCTCCTGCAACCAAACGCGAAACCAACCACCCAGTGAGAGAGAGAGGGGGAGATAGAAAGAGAGAGGGGGAAAGAGAGAGAGATCACTGCTACCTCCTTGTGGTTCTTCACTTGTGGTTCTTCCTTTGCCTTGTCTTTGGCCTCTTTCTTCTTATTCCTTTCTCTGTCAACGCGATTCTCTTTCTTCTTTTCCTCGTCCGGCGGTTTCTTCAGAGAAGCAAATAGATTACAATAAAATCAATGGAACAGAGAAGCAAATAGATTAATAATTTCGATGAATATTAATTTTATTTTGCTTAAATGCGCGATCACAGTAACTACAACCTCATTGGATTTCTTCTGTTCTAGCTTTTCCTTTGGCTTGTCTATGGCATCTCTCTTCGTTTTCCGTTCTCCGCCGCCGTCGCCATTCTTCTTCTTCTTGTCATTTTTCTCATCTTTTTTCGGTAACGGAGAGGCCTTTTTGTTACTGTTCTTGCTCTTCATCTGCAACGAAACAGCAAAACACACCAACCAAACACCAAAACAAACCAGCGACAGCGGCTCCATAGAGAGAAGGGAGTGAGGAGTGGGAGTGAGTCTCTGAATTGGACCAATACATATAGAATGCACGTAGGAACTGTCGCTTATGACGAGCAGGTAGGAGACTCTGTTTCCTTTTACTCGAATTGGGAAACTTCGGCGTGTTTGCGTTAATAAATTAATTCAAAAAAACTGAAACCTTAAGTTTTGTATGCCCTTTTAATGATCAAAATATCATCCGAAAAAAATTTGGTTCGGTGATTGAAAAATGTAGGTTTTAATTATTTAATCTAAAATTTATTTTTTTATAATTTTTATCCAATAAAAACATGACATTCATAATTTATTTTATTATTGTTATTTTAATTTATTAATTTTAGGTTAATAACTATAAATTCATCAAACTAAAATTCACTTTTCTAAGCTAATTTTGATATACTTTTTTTTTAAATACCGTATCATTATCCTCATGTGTCTACATGCAGATAAGGAAAAACACACACTGAGTCAGCAGATTAAGATGGCAGATTCGATTTGGATACATGGGGGGTGATCAAGTGGTCATATTAGCAGCATCGTGGTGTTGTTAGTCAAATCAGAAGTGTCGGTGACACTGTTGGCGCACGACAATTGACGCACGTCAACGTAGAATAGAAAATTAGGTAGGGCGTATGAGAAAGACCTTTTTTTTTTTTGGAGTTAATTATTTTTTTCCCTCCAAATTATATTGTTTGTGTCAATTAAGATTCTAAAATATGTTTTATGTTAATTTAATCCATAAAACTATGTAATTTGATTAAATATGACTTTTCTCTTCAAATTCGTCGTTAATTTTGACAAAAATCCTCACGTAATTATAACTTAATGTTTGGCTCGTGACATGTACGAGAAGATTTTTATTAAAGTTAATGGTGGATTAGATGGAAGGACCACATTAAGTTGGATCACATAGTTTAGGGCCTAAATTAACACCAAAAATAAAGATAAACAATATAATTTAAGGACCAAATAAATAATTAATTTAAACCCGCCTTACTAACCATTCAAGATTGTATTATAGATTGAGTAATGTTATTGGAATATAATTAAGAGATATAATTTGTGGGACATAATGTATTTTGACCAATGGAGTCATAATGTAATAAATTTAATACTACAATGAGTCTCATCATTGCATTCCCTATTACTTCATTGGTCCCAATACATTATATTTTTAAATTATATCTCAATAGCATTAGTGATGTACATTTAACTTGGCTTTTGCCATTATGATTCGATGCCAAACACAAAGAAGTCTAATTCTCCTGCCCATTTCACGATCCGACATTAATAATAGAGGTAAATAATAGAGGGTAATGGGGATGACCTCGTACTTCAAAATAAAATGAAAGAAGAGAACCATGTGGATCTACAAAGAGATTTCAAATGAATAGTATGAGATGAATCTCCTATTGGGCTCTGAATAAGGCCCATGAAGTAATGGACCCTAAGTTCACTCCCACACAAATTTGAAGCAAACATTGGTTCGCACTATCCAATGTTTCATTCTCATTTATCCTTTCCTAAAGGTTGGCATCCAATTGATACAATTTTAGCATTTTTGCTTTTTGTATCAAGTCTGCTAATTTACACCAAGTAGCGGTTGCCCTAGTGACTAAGAATTTAGATTTTCTTACTTAATGTTTGATTTCGAATTTTCATAGTTACGATGACTCGTTGAAGTTAAACCTACTTTCAGTACCTAGATTATACAGTAGGACATTTGCTTCAGGTTCGACATAGGTGCAATGGAATCCCCTGCAGATAACTGTGTGATGCTGAGGGACAATATTCATTGACAGATATGTAGAATGACATATCTGTATATCCATTTTATATACCAAAAAAAAAAAAAGTCGGCTAATTTACACAATTTTTTTGATTTATAACTTTAGGGATGCCAATGTAATTTTGTCTCACTGTATGCGAGACATGTTATTTTGAATTTATGTTTGAGTACATCATGGATATATACCAAGGAATTAAAATCTACAAGTTTGCACTGTTATTTACATTATGCTTTCTAAACAAAACATGCACTTAAATAACAGAACACTGCCCAAACATTTCATTGATGGAGTGATCAAAATATGGCCCATAAGGATGTCTGTTTGAGCACACATTTGGTCCATATCCAATCCAGCCATTTCCCTCCACACACCCACCACCACCGCCGCCGCTATCACCAACGCCAATGACATTAACACTCCCTCTCTCCTGGCGGCAGCATTCGTTCGTCGGTGCAGCAATCTCGACCGATGTTTTGAGCTTCCTTGTCAATGCTTCCACCAGAGCTTTCACGTCCATAGTCCCTCTTACCATTACTAGGTCATTTTGGTTGTCTAAGGAGATCTCTTGAAATCCTGTGTCATGACAAGCTAGTCCTTAAACCAAAATTACTCTAAAAAACACCGATAAATGTGTCCTAACCTTTGGTTTTTGTGGCAATTTTGACAATAGCTTGAATACATCTATCGCAGTTCAGTTTCACCTTCACCGATATTGTCTTAGGCTGATAAATGCAAAAACCAATCAAGTAATCAACACAACTTTATGAAAAATCACTAAAACAAGAGCTAGCAAATAACTTTACTAAAATCTCTCATCTGATGGGCTATGTACCCATGCAGTGAATCTCAAGTAAATCAACTATAACCCTTTAGTATCATTACTAAAAACGATATTACGAAGTTTGTTGCATGCTTTGTATTTCATCCTAATTCGTATTTAATCTTAAAAAAAAAAATCTTGGGATTTTAATTGAGAAATTGGATGACTTCTGATTTTGAAGCACATGGGCAAGGGTCTCGAAGAGCCAACAAAATAGTCCCCGCAAAATTCGTTGTATAACATAGTCACCAATTATTTCTAAACATAGAAGAAGCTTGGCAGCAAGGTGGCAAGACTTCTTGGTTGAGTTTTATATGTGTATTTAGCATAAGCCAGACGCATGAATCTAGTGGCTAATGTGTTAAGTCAGAAAGCAAAGCTTGCGTTGTGAGGAAAAAAAATTTCTGGTAACCAATTTTTTTGGAAATAAAACCCACTTAAATTTGTAATAAAATGAAAGTAACACTTTTCTTGCTTTTATTTTTGATTCAGAGAATTGTTTGTAATCTAAATTGCTTGTAGTAATTTTTTGCAAGCTGAATTACGTAAGAATTTGTGTATTTTTGTGTTTTTCTATCTCGTGTACGAGTTCCTCTACAAAGATGTTTAAAAGCCCAAGGTGGAAATTAATTAACCAGCAATTATGTAAGTAACAAAACTTCCACAAGATTCAAGGCTTGATATGAAACATATAACATTAATCCATAAGCATATGCCATAAAAAATAATAATAATAAAAAAAAAAAAAAGCATATGCCATACCTCTGTAGATTTCTTATCTTTCTTTTCTTTGTCCTTATTTTCGATTTGGTTTGGTTTTACAGAAATGAGTGAGACCTTCTTCTTCAATCTCTTCTCAACTTTCTCCCGGAGCTTCTCAGGATCTACTTTGCTGACCACTGTAAATTTGATGCCGTCACCGTCTTCTATCTTCACTGACTGAACACCTACACGTACACACACACACAAACAAAAACATCATAACAATCAAGGGTTAGAATAAAGCGCGAACAATGAATATATATAGAGAACAAACATAAATTTGCATTGAATGAAAAGCATAATTATGAATTCATTACAACCTTAGAGAAACCACAATTCTCAAGTTGTTCTGATAATGAAGATAGGAGAAATAGAGAAAATAATGTCAAAATGGAATTAAAAAAAAAAAACAGAACAGCTAACAGAACATTATGAAAATCCCAAAAAATAGAATGGAAACAAGAAGAGGAGGAGACGAAAAAATCAAAAACAGAAAGGAAAACAAAGTATGGATTCCGAAAAATGAAAGAGAGTAAAGCGTTTTGGTGATTTTGGATTAGTATGGAAGAAATGTATACCATTCAAATTTCGAATGCATTCCATAATTCTGTCAGCACAACCCTCACAACTACAATGCATGTCAATCTTGAGAACCACAGTGATATTCTCTTCCATTTTTTTCCTTCTGTTGATCGTTATCAGTGATTCATGACAACAAAGGCAGAGTGAGAGAGAGCGAGAGAGAGGTGGGATTGTATTGTAGGTGAAGAGAAGAGACTTGGTCTCACCACACACATTATGATTCTTCAGAGTTGCCTTCAATTTGAGAGCAAAAACAGAGGATCGGAGGGGTGTATTTATGGAGCTGGCGTGTATTAGTTGTTGGACTGGGGTGTGAATATGTGATTTTTGTGGCAAAACAAACTGTTTTTACTAAAGTATTGTCCGGTGTAAAATGTGTGTTGTTTGCCCATTACTACTGTTTTTAGAAGTACATGGATAACGGTACTGTTGTGTATGATGTTGATTGTTACTATAAAACTTATGAAATACCTACCCGATGCATATGTAGCACTCTCACCTGATCACCAATGATAAATGTTAATCACTGCTGAAAACGATTTGGTTTAGGGGTGACCATGGAAGGGTCATGGAAAAAATATAGGGTGCAACCATTACATCGCATCCGCAGTGTCACGTACTTGAATCGTCCACTAATTAATAAATAAATTAATAAATGAGTCTCACTAAATCTCGTAACTGCTATGTAGTACATAGCCAGCCAACCCTTTGGATCTATGTATCTTGGGCCAATCCCTTCTTCCGAGTTCTATCCATGGGCCAGCCACGCCTATGTTCTAAAATTTTAATGTTTATGTTCTAAGGTAATATGTTTAAAAATTAAACTAAGTTCTAAATATAATTTATTGATTTAATTAATCACAATTATTGTATTGATAACGGATCTAAATATTGAGATGTAATGTTAATTCAATAATAATGATTGATTACTTTACAATATAAAATAGAACGGCTTCAACATCCAACGGCCACTAACAGTCCAATTCAAATTAAAAGGTTCAGATTTCACCACCGTTCATCCAACTTAATCTAATGGCTCACAATACATCTCGCAAAATCAAATTCCTTACCCTCTCAAACGGCGCCTAACGTGACTATACCTACACTCACACGACACCCAACCCAAGCCAAACTCTCTCCCTCCAAGACCAGCCTTCTCTACCCTCTCT